CTAAACGTTGGAGGTTCGGCTCTCATCCTCTCCTAGCGACTTACTTGCGAGTTACTATTATCACACAAACGAGTAAAACAACCATTTGCATTTTAAACATACAAGTGAAAGCTTATCATAACATGTCAAGTACACTTCTACTTACTAAACACACTTTGCCTAGTCATCATGTAAAACAAGTAGCATAGACAAAAATATATTAACCCTAATCTAAACACCTATCATGTATAAAAGCTTAAATAATGATAACCAAGGAATAAAAATGTGGCGCACCAAACATCTACTTTTGGAGATGAAAATTTTATGGGAGACACTTCTTAACTAAACAAAGCTACTCTATGAATTTCATAATTTCTAGATAAGCAGATTATTTATTAATAGTTAATTAAGATTTAATGGTAATAAAAGCATGTGACACATGATAAATCCATAACTCAGTAAATAAACATGTATTGGACATGAAATTTTTACCATAGCACAAGCATACAACAAGTAACCTACCATAAAAAAATTCACAGCAATTGGATTCATATAACAGTAGATATGAATTTAGCATTAAAAAGCATAGGCAAAAATTTAGAGCAATATTTTCTACTAAAACATACAAGATTATATATCTACCGCATAGATCTAGTCACAAGGATTGCAAAACATCTTTATTTTCCTTTTTATGATTTTTCTACTATTTACTACAAATTTTAGAAGTTTCAGCCTATTTACACATAAAAGAAAAGGAGAAAACCACAAAAGACAAACACTTTTCACCGAGACCCCTGTGATTTTCCCTAATTAACCCACGGACTAGCTATGCTATTCATGTAAGTCTAGTACTTCGCATCTGAACCCAAGAAAGAGTTTCTAATTCGTTTTCTTCCCTGTCTTCCTCTTCAACGTAGCAGAGAAGTAGAGGACGGACGGGCTCTGGCCGATTCCGGTGGCCAGGTGGTCAGAAACGGCGATAGCAGGGCTGCGCGCCCAGCTAAGGGGCCCCCACGCATCCGTTGGTGGTGGAGTCCTGGCCGGAGGCGGTCGGGCCATGCTGGCAACGCGCGCCACTGGCCACGGCGACGGCTGCTTCGCCGCTTCCAGACAGTAGGCGGTGGCGACGCTGCGAGGCATGACAGCTAGCTACGGCCGGCTCCTCGGCACCAGGCGGACATGGCACGCCTGCGGCTAAGCCCCACTCATGCCGGGGCAGGGCGCAACGCTTGGCCACGTGCGTGCAGCGTGGCGGTGACCCGAGCAGGAGCCGCAGCGGTTACCGACGACGCGGCTATGGTGAGCGCGCGTGGAGCACAACGGAGAGCGAGGCGGGAGGTGGAGGCGAGCTCAACTCAGCCTACGATCGAGTGCAGCTGCGAGGACGACGACGCTCGAGCTTGGCCCCGAGCACGGGCATGGCAGGTGCTTGCGAGCAGCAGAGCAAGTGAGAGTGAAACGATCCACAATTTTCTCGAAGGAAAATCCACAGATTACATCATAATGTGATAGTCCAGGAAGATCAAGCTGTCACATTATCATTATTCAGTTGATATCACATTTCATATATCACGGAATTACAAGTTTACAAGATATTACAACACTTGGTAATACACCTAAGTACAATGTATACTAGCGGAAATGCACACAGATCAACGCTAGAGTAGACAACGCATCGGCGGGTGAAGACTCCTCCTTCACGGACAATCATCTGAGTCGGCATAGAATGTCAGCGGGCGTAGACTTCATCTCCTCAACCAAACTTGAACGCATGAGCGAGACCATCTAATCTCCGTTGTCGTCGTCGATAAAATCCAAAACCTGCCAAATATCTTTTAGTACGATTTGTGCGTGCAGCTGTAGCTCCTCAAGCGCCTCGGCGATCGCGTCGAGGCCGGCGGAGTGGAGAGGTTGGACGGCGATGGGAGCCTATGCCAACCCTCCCTCCGTTGTGACGATGAAGTCCAAGTTCCTAAAGCACACGTGCACGCCCGGGACCCAACTAACGCCGTGACTAGCCATCCAAGGCCTGGTGTGGATGTCGAGATGCGTAAAAGGCCCCAACCTAGCGCGCCAACTGTCGGTGTTTTGAGTTACCACCGACGAGTAAATGTCTAGTATCGCACGCGTTTGGCTTGGATGATGTGCTTAGAGGACACGAGGTTTATACTAGTTCGTGCAGAAAATCCCTACGTCCAAGTTCTTCGTTGCTGCTTGTGTTACCAGCACTGAAAGTTTATAGTAGGGGTTACAAACGAGCGAGAGAGGGACATGTTCCAAGTCTCTCATGTGCGTGTGCTCCTAAGGCGTGTGTTTTGATGTCTACAGCCATGTAGAGTAGTGAACCGCCCCCTTTCTGGGTCGTCCTGCTTCCCCTTTTATGTAGCGAAGGGAAGAGCGAGTTACTGAGAGAAGAAAGAGGGAGAAGATGTAAGGAGAGGAAGGCTTCCAGATCACTGGGCCTTTCTTTTTCCTTTTTGTGTGGGTCCCCGCCAACATTGTAGATGGTGATGAGGGACGGCTCCACACCGGCGCCTATTCGCTTGGCCGATGCCACGCCTGGCGTTGTCGGCCGGGTCGTGACGTCCCATTCGCTTTCAAGGGTGACGCAACAAACCAGTGTCTTTGGGGTGGCCGTCTGACAGAGTAGGCAAAGATAGTGACAACATGTCCGTCACTGTTGGTGATGTGAGTTCCCTGGAGTGACATGTCGCAGGCACGGGTCATGTTGAGATGTGCCTACTCCCTGCACGATACCAGAAGTTTGACCTTGGGTTGTACTTTTTTTGGGGCGTAGTGGTTGGTGGCAGTATAGGCTTCCGTTAGGAGTCACGCCTGAGGGGTCGGGCGAGACGAAGCCCCCGACCCAGAGGTCGGGCGAGGCGGAGCCCGCCCCAAGGGTCGGGGAGACGGAGCCCGCCCCCAAGGGTCAGGCGAGGTGGAGCCTATGGCCTCGGGGTCGGGGGAGGCGAATCTTACGCACCTAGGGGTCAGTTTGAAGCTGTAGCCGCGCTCTTGACTGCTCGGACGAATCAATATTGATGATCATTAGCTCCTCCTCTTCGGATACCCTAGTATTGGTCCCCGACAAGCCCGCTATTGAAAACCATGATGTGAAGACATGTTATTTGGCATTGGGAAGATCGAAACCAAGTCAATTCAAAAGAGAGGAACTCCAACTAGTGGCTAAGAGCTCGATTTAAGCAACCCCAATTTCTTAGCATCTATCATTGTGTGTCCATTGTATTGGGTTGGAGCTCGAGAGTTGGGGAGAGGAACATATATTTCAGGCAGCAAGCAAAGGTTTCACGTGTGAGAGTCATTTTAGCTGATTATGTGCGCAAGTAAATCATTATTATGCATGGGAGAGCTGAATTCCTTTATTGAGCAAGGATCACCTTACCTTGCAACACAAAGCTAGACAAAGAAAATATCATGTGTGTTTGTTCTTACCTTGCTAGCTCGATTGTCCCTTTTTTCTAAAAAAATATTATCGCCTTGTCTCATCTAGCAAAATTAAGAACCAACAAGTATGGGTCCGTTCGGTTGACATGAAAGTCAGTTGAAAAATCACGTTTATACAGCTGAAAACATTATTCACTCTCTCACAAATTTCTTGATTCCTCCAGATTCAACCCAACGAACATGCCCTATGTGCCAAAAATAAAGTTTGACAGGCCCTAAGGGATGAGAATCACATCAATCCATGGACTAATGTGACCTTGGTCTTGGAAGCTAGGGCCATAGAACTCGGCTAAAAGGATCATAATATGCCTACAATTGTGTTTCTATTGTTAGATATTGGAACTCTAAAGCAGGGGACAAGAGAAACATAAAGTTTTCAACCTTCAAACTATTGAGATGTTTGGTTTGCGGGCACAGTCCGCCACGTCCACAGATTGTGGCTCGCCACAGTAATCTGAGCCCCTATTTGATTCACATGAAACGAGGCGGACACATAAGAGTCACAGAGCAAATCTTGCCACGGAGTGTGGCGGCAAAAAATCACGCTGCAACTGTGGCATTTACCGCAGTTTAGGCGTAGCCCGCTATGGTCAGTATCAAACAGGCCCTTTATCCTGTAGTAAACTTGCCTTGATGTACGGTGTGCATGAGAAAATACTTACTCTCAAACAAGATGAGCGGTTGCTATGAAAACAAGGAGGCCTCAAATGGTCTCATAATTTTTTTTTACTAGTGACAACAAAGGAGACACAGTTCATCGTGAATTTTTCATATCATCTTACTCATAAGAAGAATTTCAGTTCACTGAGCACGCGATAAAGATTCATCTACTCCTGTTTTGCCATTTGAAATCCCAAAAAAATAACAATTCCAAAGTGCGCCGTAGAAAATGGACCAGTGGTGCGTGCTGAACGAGGCCCAAACCTCAACGGCAGTTTCCGTCTCCCCTCACACGGAGTCCAAAACCGACTCCAGGCGCACGCGTTCCGTGGCAAGGCCAAGCCGAGCCCACGCCGCCGGCTGTCGCTGCCAGCCCTGGCCCAGGTACCCCGCCACGTCACCGATCCGTGCCTGCCTTCCCGTTCACCAATCACAGCCTCGCGTCGACCCTCCCACGGATCGTGTGTTTTCTCCCGCCCGCCCCGCGCCGTCCGATCTCGGCTCGCATCCCGGATCCACTTTCCCAACGGTCACACGAGACCGCCTTGGTCCACGCGTCTCCTGCCGCCCACGCCCGCCCGCCCGTTCCCCTCTGTCTCCCGCGACTATATAATTCCCCCCGCGCCCCACTTTTCTCCCACTATTCGCATCCCCGCACCCGCCGCAGCTTCGTCGCCTTCGAGTTCGTTTCGTCCAGGCAAGGAAGCCAAGTCGCCGAGGAGAGGAAATGGCCCGTACGAAGCAGACCGCCCGCAAGTCCACCGGAGGCAAGGCCCCCCGCAAGCAGCTCGCCACCAAGGTTCGTTCTTCCGTTCCTCTTCTCTGTCCGTTTCGATCTGTAGTTTTGTTCTCGAGGGGGGTTCCGTTCTGAGACGTCGCGGTGGTGGTGGTTGTCGATGCAGGCGGCGAGGAAGTCGGCGCCGACGACGGGCGGCGTGAAGAAGCCGCACAGGTACAGGCCCGGGACGGTGGCGCTGCGCGAGATCCGCAAGTACCAGAAGAGCACGGAGCTGCTGATCCGGAAGCTCCCCTTCCAGCGCCTGGTCCGCGAGATCGCGCAGGACTTCAAGACGGACCTCCGGTTCCAGAGCCACGCCGTGCTGGCGCTCCAGGAGGCCGCCGAGGCCTACCTCGTGGGCCTCTTCGAGGACACCAACCTCTGCGCCATCCACGCCAAGCGCGTCACCATCATGCCCAAGGACATCCAGCTCGCCCGCCGCATCCGAGCGGCGAGCGCGCGTGAGCGTGTCGTCACCGTCGTCACCACCAGCGTCCCGGCGGAGGTGGGGAAGAGCCGTCGGCTTGTTGATCCCCGCCCGTGTTTAGTGGATCTCATGAAGAACTTAGTTGGCTAAAATCTGTATTAGCGTCGTTGGTTGAGTTTGTTCGCAGTGTAAAAACAGCTTTACAAGTCATTTTGTGCTGTGCTTACTTTGTTTGGGTCGCTTCGTGCTGAAGTGATCCTGTTAAAAGATTATTAGTTAAATATATTATATTTTGTGCTATTTATACTGTTTGTATTTGTGATGTGGTGCCGTGGTTGGCACGGTTGGTTTATTGTGGTTGTGGTGGACTCGTGGTGGGTCGCCAGAAACTGCGGACGGGTAACCGCGTCACGGGCGTCGCCATGGCTGTCCTTTGCGTTTGGGCCTTGTTTAGGCCCTGTGTAGATTCCACTTAAAATTCAAAATTTTTCTAGATTTTTTGTCATATTAAATCTTGTTTAGTTAAATTTAAAAATAATTTTTCAGTCTCACGTTAATTTTTTAGATATTTTTTGTTAGATACAAAAAAAAAATAATTATAAAATTTTTTATTTAAAGATTAGAAAGTTTTTCACCCTCTCAAATTAAATAAGTTTTTGAACAAATATCAAAAAAAAATATAATACCGAGTAGTCTATGATTAAATAATAATTATTAAAAATAAATAAAAATATTAAATAATAATTATTAAATATAAATAAAAGTGTTACAGTTAACTAAAATACTGATTTCTAACCCAAATATAAAAGGCCTTGGGACCGGCGACCAGTACGCAAACGATCTGTAATTGACCGGCGACCAGTATGCAAACGATCTGTGATTGCCCTCAGGCCTCAGCTGTATGGTTTGATCCTGCGTGGTCAATTTTCCGTCCGTCCTAATGTGTTGGTGACTCAGGATTGGGACAGCTCGCATTTTGTCCAAATGGGGAACCGGGAAGCACGTGCAACACGCTAATCCTTTTTGGTCGGTTTTTAAATCGGTTGGCTGCGGGTTCTTCTGGTTTTTGGGCGCTTTGATGAGGCCTATACGACTCTTTTTTTTATAATAAGGAAAACGTACACACAGGTGTACAAATAGCGTACAAATAGGATACGGATACAACTGTTCCAGCCGAACTACACAAAGGACCCTATAAACAAAAAATATTACAACGATGCCCCTGGATCCTTCACGATTTTTGGTTGTCCACCTCATCGCTGGCCGCCGCCAACGAAGAAGAGGGTCGTCCACCTCATCGACGACCGCCGCCAACGAAGAAGACGACGATCACCACCGTGGGCTAGAGAAGTCCCATTGCACGCTGGCTTTGAAGTGGAGTTGAAATTGACACCGTCGAGAAAACGGATGAAGCCGTCGGCGATCGCCCATCGACCGCGGCCACACCCCCAACTCTCCTGGATCTGTGCTCGCCGTCGACGGCCATCGCCGCCGAGGGAAGAAAGAGCTAGAACCGGGCCAGCCACCACCCACAAGCACCCCACACTTAACGTAACCGCATCCAAACAAAAAGCAAATAACAACAACATCATCTGGCGGCGAAGACGAAGGCGTTACCGCGGACTCCAAGCAGATCTCCGGACCATTGTCGGCTACTGGAGCGGAATGTCTGGCGGGACAAAGGAAGGGTGGAGAAAGATTATTCCCCAGCGTCGTCAACGCCTTCGCCTCGCCAACATCGCCCAGAAAAGCACGCCGCAGAGGAACTACCCACCGACAAACCCTAGCCTTGCCATCAACCGACGACGGCCAAACCCTAGACCTAGGTAAACTACCTACTCTATACGGCGATTCCCTGGCCCACATCCCTCTACGACGCCTCGCCGGCCACCGAGAGAGGAAGAGAGCCGGCGAAATTGCCGTCGAATGCGCGGTTCGCCCTCTCTTCGCCTTTGGCAACTGTAGCGAGGGGAAAAGAGGAGCGTGAAGTGAGAAAGAGGGTTGGCCGTTCGCTGCTCTTTTGGTCGAAGGGCCCAAGTACATAGATTTGGGCCAGTCTGCAGCAGACATGGGAATGGTTTTTTTTTTGTTAGCGCAAGCCCAGTTCGTTATTTCACGCTCATGAGTCGTTCAAGTAGCGTATTCTGAGCTTTTGGCCCAGGTTATTTCGCTCCAGCAAGCTTATCTGTATTTTTTTGTGGCTGTCAATCAAATCAACTTGTCCTAGAATATAAACTTGTATAACGTGCTCAGTCTTGCTACAGTTTATTCGAGATTAACTCTTTTTTTCTTTACAAAAAAAGATACAAAAAGATTAACACAGTTTATTCGAGATTAACTCCTTTTTCTTTACAAAAAGATTAACACAAACTTCTCTTCTTTGTCCTCTTGTCTTTTCTTCAGTTCTGACTTGGTGGACAACGGTCGTAAGTATGAAGGGCCTGTTTGATCACTTAATCTTGATGCAGTTTAGGTGAAGATGGCTAAAATTTAGCCTAGTGTTGTTTAGATATATAGACCGAAAATGAACTAAAAGTAAGTAACTTTGGTGGAACAAACACTCTGTATACCTTTTAGTTATTCATCCATATTTACCAACTAATAAACTAATTGCTAGTTGGATTAATAAAAACCAAAAAATGATTTACCTTCTGTCCACCTATTTAGGTTTAGATACCTAGTAAAAAATTTAGTTGACTAGAATTTAGATTATGATATTCAAGATGGGACAAAACAGACCATGATGAACATAAACTCACAGGTATAAACAGTTGAACTCGACATGGGTAACGTCGAGTTCCTACCTCTAACCATCCCCAAACCGTACAAACAACCTTTAGCGCCCATCCCCAACACAAACACAAAAAACACACCCTTTCACAAACCTCCAAAATTCTCCCTCAAACCACAACCATTCTTCGAAATTCCAAATCCCCAGCACCCATCTAACTTTGAATTTCACTGAAATCCCAAATCCCCCAATCAAACCCACCAAAAACCACGCCGAATTCGTCCTCCAAACCACTCACCCAAAAACAGGCGAAAACACACCCTCCTCGAGCGGAGGCGTCCACGCACGGGCGCGCGAAAAGTCCAGAACCATCCGGGGGGCAGGCGGCCCCATCGCGCGGCCACGTGTACGCCCCGGATGCTCCGTCCGAGGATCCCGATCCGCGTGCGGCCGCGGCCGGCCAATCGGAGCCCGCCGTGGCCGGCTATATATGTCGCGCCATGGACCAGCGCCGGCTAGTCAAGCCACTGCGAGATAGGAGTATCCGCTTGCGTCGCACGCGCACTGAAAGAGAGTGGTGTGAGTGATCTCAGGTTTCTGATCATGGCCACCGTGACTGAGGAGGTTGCTCCGGCCGTCGCCGTCGCCGAGGAGCCGTCGCCGGAGAAGGCGAAGGAGGTGGTGGAGACGCCGGAGAAGGTGGAGGAGGGCGAGGGGAAGAAGCCGAGGAGGAGAAGAAGGCGAGGAAGCCGCGGAGCAGGAAGCCCAAGTCCGCCGGGCCGCACCACCCGCCCTACTTCGAGGTGAGCAAAGATTCCCTCGTCTTATCTTTTTGGTTATCTTGATCATCCGGCGTGGATGGACTCTGATTCTGACGGTTGACTCTATTGCTGTGCCGTGGTGGGTGATCAATCAGATGATCAAGGAGGCGATCCTGTCGCAGGACGGCGGCAAGGTCGGGGCGAGCCCGTACGCGATCGCCAAGCACATGGGGGAGAAGCACCGGGACGTGCTCCCGCCCAACTACCGCAAGGTGCTGGCCGTGCAGCTGCGCGGGTTCGCCGCCAAGGGCCGCCTCGTCAAGGTCAAGGCCTCCTTCAAGCTCGCCGCGGCCGAGGAGAAGAAGGCTCACGCGGCCGCGAAGACGAAGAGGGCTGCCTCGGCGCCGACGCTGGCCAAACGCAACAGGCCCGCGGCCGCCGCCGCCGCGCCGGCCAAAAAGAAGACGGCGCCCGCCGCAGCTGCGCCCAGGGAGGCACGGAAGGCGCGCGCCAAGCGCGCGAGGAAGGTGGCCCCGGCGCCCGCGCAGCCCAAGCCCAAGTCCGCCCGTGCCGCCGCCGCCGCTGGCAAGAAGGCCAACAAGGCCAGCGCCTGAAAAGCAACCGACCAAACGTCCTTGTCCGCGCGCGCACGCCGCCGTGTATGTATTATACTAGTAGCTGGTAGTGGTAGTAGTAGGAAGTACTAGCAGCGTGGCACTCGTGCTGTCGTCGTCGTCGTCTCCGCCGGCTCGATCGATCGGGCGCTCTGCTCCGCCGCGTGGCAGAGTGTTGTCAATACCCGGACCGTAACCAGTGTCAGTGTGGTGTGATGGCAATAAAGCGCGCGCTTTTAGCTTCCGGTGATGATGATGCTTGGGTTCAACCGTAATCGGTGGTTAGCGTGTGATAAGGATGATGAAATAGACGATCGTGGTAGTTCGATCACTGGCGCTGGCTCGTCTTCGTCTCCCTCGGCCTTTGGGCGATGCTGTCAAGGTTGATGATTCACCTCGTAACAGTTGATACGGTATGGTGGTTCGATCTTGTTGCTGCTTGAGAGGTATAAGAACAGAACAGTACCACCGCGATCCGGTTCAGTAGTGAGTGTGTTCATGGTGTACGGACGGGGCGAGATCGAGAAGCTTCTGGATTTCTTCGTTGCCAACGGATAAGCTTGAGCAGCAGCAGACCCGAGGAACATAGGTTGGGTGCTTCCGCCTGGGACAGCGGGGCCCATTGCGCTGGGACGCCTGGACTGGGGCCGGGCTGCCACGCGGACCCGGTGAAAATACCTGAAGTCCTGAGCAGCGGCCAGCCATTCCGTGCGGCCGGCCCTGAGCTTTGTTGATCCTCGACACGACACCGGTGCTTGCGTTCGGATTGGCGTTGTATCGTGTTTCCCATGTACCATCCCCGTCCCACGCGGCTCCCGTTCGACGCACCCGCGTGCCTCCCTCACGTAAAATCGAATCTAAATAGAGTTGCGTCCGCTGTACCTGCGTAACAGGAGAGCGAGTGCCCCACGTCACCACGCGCCTGCGCCGTTGCTTAAGGGCCTGTTGGTTCTAAATAAATCACTTACTTATAAATGAAAAAAATAACTTTTTATAAGTTTTGAGTTGGTTTACCTTGTTTAAAACTTATAAGTTATCTTTTTTCGGTGAGGTTCACAGCTTTAATGAGCTTATAACCAAACATGTATGACTTATAAGTCACTGATTTTCAGTCGTCTGACTTATGAAAACCAAACAGGCCCTAACTGTGACGTACGTAGCCCCCTTCGTCCAGTGCACATCCTGCTTCAAAGACATCGTCGCCCATCTCTCGTTCGTATGGATGCGCCGCTGACTTCGAGAGGGACGATGCAGCAAAAGGTGGAAAGAAAAGAGATGCAACACCTGATCTACTTTTAAAACATCTAAATACAACGGTTGCAGCATACGTCTAAAGGCAGTAACACTTGAAACATGCTTATGAAACACACCTGAAACATACTTACCATTGCAACCATACGCAACATCCGAATAAAACACATGCAACATATGTGCAAAATATATGCAACATTCATATAAACACAATTGCAACATACGTCCGAAAAACACAGATGAAACATACATCTGAAACATCTGGAACATTCAAAATATACAACGTCCCCCGATCTACTTTTGCAACATCCATATGAAACAAATACAACATACCTCTGAAACAATTAAAACATACCACTGCAATATATAGAGAGAGAGAGTCCGGCATGCCAAGTGCCATAGCCTCCGGATCTGCGGGCATTGGGGGCTTCCGGTGGGGGAGGATGTCTAATGGAGACGGGGATCCCGATCTTCCGTCAGGTGATGGTAACTATCGTTGTGGCGGAGAATGACACACCGATCCGGCTTCAGATCGAAAGATCGAACCCTGCAATCTTAGCACCACCGCTCCTCTGGTTATCAACCGAGTCACGGACCAGGTTGACCTCGCCAAGAAGGCTAATCCTTGCCTGCGCAACGAAGAACACAAGCAAGAACAAGAAGGATCGCAACCAAATTGCAAATGTATGATTAATCTCACGAGTTGGGGTCTCACAAACCGAAGAACGACGAACTGTTTCTTGACAGAATAATCTAAGCAAAAACCCAAACCCTAATGGAGGGGCGGTGGCTGTTTATGAAGTCTCTAGGGTCGTGCAAGACCCCTGGACGCGCCCCTAATGGGCCCAAACTCGATACAGGGTCCAACGGATCAAAATACGGTGTCGCAGCACCCTGGCAGATTCTGGACGCTGACTTGTTTCGACGATTCCCGTTGATTCCGAACAGCTTTTGACGTGAAACCACTTGGATTGGCTTCCTTATCAAATTAGCTTTCCATCCATATGTGGATCATCGAAAACGGAGTCTGGATGTGTCCTGGGAGTCCGTTTTATTGCAGACTGGTCCTGACAGCCGAGGCAGACTCGAACTCGGATTGGACTGGGCCTCTGGCTTGGCTTGGACGTCCTTGCTGGCCTCCTAAGGTGGTGGCCAAGGAGGAGGATGTCCAAGTGCTTTCTTGGTGGGTTCTCCAAGTCCTTGGGTGTGCTCCCACTTGGGCCAGGGTCCCAAAGATGAATAACAAGCCCATAACGACAGTGTAGCTCCCAGCAGAAACAATGACAGAATATATTGGCGATTTGGAGGCCTTGCTGACGTGATATTGAGATGGAACCAGATCTATTTGAAAGCTTATCAAACAAGCTTTCCATCAAGTGCTCATTGACCTCGATCGCACTCCGGATGGATGAGTTATGGCCTTCCCAATGAGGCACTGTCGGGCTGCCGACGAACCGAAAGTTCAACTTTGATGAACTTGCATTATGAAACACATTTGAACCTACAATCAAATAGTGACATATACATGTGGAACCAAGTGAATTATAACCAAAGCCACTATGCAAATGTAGGAACGAGCGCACCTTATAATCATTGTTCGTATCCGAAGGTGCCATGTCCTCATCATCCTCCCCTTCTTGACAACAAACCGTCCTCGGTTTGAGCTTAGCTGGAGGACAAGTTGTCGGTAGTAGCCAACATTGCTTCCCTTCTTGAAATTTAACCTGTTGCTTCATTACAAAACTTGGGGATTTTGACATGACAACATTATCACTATTGGTGCCCTCTCGTTGATCATATTTTTGCACAATGAAAGGAGATTTCAGAGTTGAACAAATATAAACACGATGCACCATATACTCTCGTTTACAATTATATTTTCCAATAAAGTGATATGTACAAGTAGACAACCATGACAATTCAACACACTTAAGTTTCTCTTCTAAACTACTAAGAGCATATAAAGTATCAAACTCAATATAACCCAAAGTATTTGAAGAATATAATAATTTCTTTTCATCTTTTTCGGTAGCAATGGGAAGCAAATTTTTATGTTCAGCATAAGTAATTGGTTCCAAAACATGTAAAACTAAAGCATCTTCAACCAATTCATCTTTGTCACAAGGAACATCAAGCAAATTATCATGGGACAAAGATCAATCAAGAGAGGGTTCCACTAACAATTGCTCTATGACAGCATGGTTTGTGGAAAAATTTAGTACATTAAGACAATTTTCACCTTCCGTGAGTGTAGGACCATGGACATTACCTGTGTTCTCAGCAGGAGTAATAGGTGCATGGTGAAGTGATGGTTCTGAATTTGCATATGAGGTTGTGAGCTCCTCATTTTCTTCCACGTCATCCTCTCGCTTATATACATTATTCTGCAGAAGGTTAGTCATAGCAAAAGGAATAACAATAGACTCTTTCTCTAAATGGTGCACCTCAGCATACGAAGTCAAAACAGGAGGTGGATTAACAAAGGTTTCTCACATAAGAAGTTTCATATCATTCCAAGTTTGAGGTTTATTAGAAGGATCTAAAGACTCCCACCAAGATAAAGCAGAATGTTGCAAAACACTAACTGCATTTTTTACCTTCCTCCTTGGACACATAAGGCGAGTAGCAAATATGTTATCGATAGCAATTTCCCACTCCATGTACTCATCAGCACATATACCATCATAAGTCGGTGGATACGAACAACCTGTCATTGTAAACACAAAAACAAGGAACAAAGCTGTGAAGGTTATCCCTAATAATCCTACTACTAGGTGGAGTGGTGCTGCCTCTCAAGATCACAAACAAAAGGAAACACCTTATCAAGCTCTTACAAGGTTCTTATCAACACAAAGCGATGGGACGGTACAACCGGTGGCTCACACGTGATACGTGAGGGTGTGACACCAAGATTGCAAGGGTCTTTTTCGTACCGATCTGAAGTATATGTGGAGCTTGAGAGGCACATAAAAAGAACAAATGTGTATATGTGGCACACAAGTTAGTGATGATGACAATATTGAATAAATGTCCAGAGCACTTGTCCTAGTTCTTTGGCCTATACGTGTTCCTATCACCAGTTGTGATAAACAAGAGAGGAAACAAGGATGAAAGGAAACAAGTATTAAAGGTAGCAACGGATATGAACAAGGCAAAAGGTACCACAAACAATAGAGCTATTGAGTGTTCCTTATGTGCTCCTTTTCGATATCTTCTATTCTCTTTTACTATTTTTTTCTTTTATTTTTTTGTCTAATCTTTTTTTTCTTGCTTTTGCTCTTTTGATATTTTTTTCTCAGCAAGGAGCACACAAGAATAAACCATAAAAAATTTGAGCTCAATTGAATAAAAGATGTGGCCTATATAAAATTAGGACTGTGCTCTAAAAAGCATACCAAAACTTGTGGGCTCAGAAACTCAATTTTCCTAATCGAATTTCGCAAATCTAATTTTTGCGAACCCAGCTATGCTGGGATGAAATAGATCTAAAATTTTCTGGCGTTCTCCGTAGATATAAAATTTGTCCCGTTTCGAGTTCGGATGCAAAAGTTATGACTGTTTTAAGGAAGCTGCTCGAATCAGGGATTTAGTGGACACAAGATGCAAACCGATGCTGATACGGAATAGCGGCGGGTGAAGGGATCAACACAAACTAGAAAAGAACACAATCTAAACCAGCAACAAGACTTTAACCTAGGACACAAACTCAACAAAACGGACTCTGAAACTGAATCATGCAAAGGCTATGG